TTCATTCGGTATTTTTATTGATTGTTGTTTAGGCAAACAACTTTGAACTCCCCCAAAATGGAGCGTACTTTTTAAAAAGTACTTTTGTCTGAGCTTTTAATGTTCTAGACAAAGCTTGTTTTATTTTTTTATTTTTTCATTTTTAATTTAGTTACGACAAAGAACGTGTGAAAGAAGTTGGATTTGATCGAGCAGCTGCTTTGGATGGATTATTCGAAATGGGTGCATTTGCTATAACTTGTATACTTTGTTTATGAGACTAGATCGTTTTTGTATTCTCTTTTTCTGAAGAATGAAATTTCAGGTGGAGGATGTTTCAAGTACGTGATTTAATTTTGGTAAAGATTTTTGTTATTCAAATCGAGGAATTCTATTCTATCTTTGCTGTGGAAAAAGTGTCAAGATTTGTCGCTTTCATTTGGGTGAATTTGATTCACTAATACTTGGGAGGAATAATTCAATAACGCTTTTTGGCCCTTTTATCAGCTTTAAGATTTGACAAAGATCACCGATCGTTTGCTCCGACTACAATGCTTTGGTAAGACGCTGTGGCCGAGCTTGACCCCAGTCTTTCTGATGATCAAGTTTGTGTGCTTCTCCTAATTTAAATATTTTCGTCTCGGGTTCCAGTGACGCAAATTGGGGAGCCAATTGATGCTTCTGTCACTGGATATGGTTGTCGAGCATTTTGGTGAGTTTATGCTCATGGACCTACCAGCTTGTGCTCATTTTAGAAGCCAATTTTGGTTGACATACCTAGATTTTTTAGATGGCCTAAAATGCTATTTTGGACGTCCGCTTTGTCTGCTACAAGAACTTGCACGATTTTGGACTGAAAATACATGGGTGATGTAAGTTTTTAGTGTAAATTTGCAAATAACGCATGGTTTTATCAGTTCAAGCTATTTTGTTATTTTTAGGCTGTCGGCAAGAAGTTGAACTACCTCCGGAAATCGACTCGTGTCCTCAATATCACCGAGGATGGTCTGAAGCTTCCACCTCAAACAATTTTACGTAAGTATTCCCCTGCTACTTTTGATTAAACAATAAGCGTTATCAGATTATACCCAAGTGTCCCTGAACTGGTTCTAATGGATAATACCATATTTTTCTTTTCAGAAGTGTTAAAAAATGCTTTAGAAGTTTGGCTGCTTGAATCAGCCCACGCACTTGTGTTTGCTTCAAGGGCTTTTGTCTTTTCGAAGGCCAATTTTCAATCCTTATTTTCAGTGGCATCAGTACACTTCTCATCCACAACCTCCCACGTGTATACGAGAAGCGGAAAATCTACCAAGAACTTCGCCAGAAGCCTTACCGATGTGCGAGATCCACTACCCTGACTACGAGAAGCCCTCGTGAATGGCAGTCAATTAACGTTCAACATTTAAATCGCTTAAGACTTTCTCTAGCTTTTAAAGCCCAGTGCCTTTGAATTTTGAGAATTTACTCTTTTCATTACACTTCACTACTTTCAGCACAGAGAATCTGTGCATTTTGAGGCATTTGTTGAGTTGGTTGATTAGCGATACCTAGTGCCTTTCTAGTTAATTAAATTGAATTTGTTGGGTTCGTTTTAGTATAATACTTGGCGATCATAATATGTGAGCAACCCATCTGCCCAATTTTCGATATCTGCAGTGTATCTTTTTCTGATGTACAAAGTGTGTGAGGAGTGATTCATTGCCGATTTCGTGTAAAAGAATTCCCCGTTTTTAAGCCATATTACACTCAATGTGATACAATAAAAGATTATCAGAATAAGTTTTCAAACTATTTTATTTAAAAAGGCACATACAAATACTCGAAGTGACACTTATGCTTTAAGTGAGAGAGCGAGAAGAGTGAAGAGGTGGGAGGAAGTGATCACCAGATATCAAAATTCGATTGTTTTAAGCTATTGGAAATAGGAATACGGCGAGAAAAATCGATCAATTCATAGCTTCGCCAAGACTGATTTTTGAGAAAAATAAATTTAAAACTACAAACGATTCATTTTTTTTTTAACAAAAACCGTCAATCTCCGATTCGACCTCGAAAACGATGCCCGAGTCGTTGCGATCGAGTTTCTGAAAGTAATACTAAAATTTGAATCATGCTATCGTACAACCAGACTACCGTACTACTCGACTACCGTGTGGACAGCTAGCGGACTACTGTAAAATAAGCATCTTTTAAAAAGTTACCTTTTCAATTGTGGTCAGGATGGCCTTCGACGGAACTGGCGAGATTTTCTGCGATGGACTTGAGAGAAGAATTGAGTCCGGTGCCGCGATCTCGTGATCAGGGCCTGGAATTGAGCTCTTTGGGAATGATTTTTACGAATTTTGATGCTTTTTATGTATACCGTATTTTCTCTAATAGTAGTGCACCCCGGCGAGCCGAGTTGGTGACTATTTTACGGTTTCAAAGCTTTCGCAGAGAGCTCCAGCCCACTAATCATCGTCAAGATCTCATCGTCAGCTACATTTTCCGACCCCACATCGATAGGTTCTGATAAGCGGTTCTCGAGATTTCGAGCAATTTAGGCGACGCTCTTGGTGCATTACTTGGAGAATACGGTATTAGAGAAAATACGGTATACGGTTTAAGAAAAGATGCAATCCAGGTTTAAAGGGTTTAAAGGGTATTAATCGCGGCCGGGTGACGATAAAAATTTTTTTACGGCAACCACCTGTTTTTTTGTTTTAATATCGCTGATTTTATTATAAAAAGAATAAAAATCACCCGGCTAGAGTGATTTGATGGGTTTACAAATTTTGGAGGCTTTACTGCAAGGCTTGGAGAAAAACAAAGATCGTCACTCATCAGACACCTCAGCTAAAAGGCACCTATTTGAAAAAGCTGAAACCATAAGCGACCACAAATGAAAAAGATCTAATTGTGTGTCAATCAGCCCGCGCTGAAGACGTCCTACGATTGAGGAGATCCAGTCACTTTTGGTGAAGATGCGCTGGAAATTGATAAGATAGGAAGCCGATTTGTACGGCTGTACTTGAGCCGAACTGCTGTACTTGAGCGAAGATGAAAGTGAGCAAGAGGAAGAATTATAGATTAACAATTTATTTTTATTACTTTTTGTGCTTTTTATTTTGTTTTTAAATTTATCTGCAACTAAAACTCAATCGATCTAGACTGTGCTGAGATGTCTGATGAGTGACGATCTTGTTTTCCTCCAAGCCTTGCAGCATCTCCAAAAAATTGTAAACCCATCAAATCACTCTAGCCGGGTGATTTTTATTCTTTTTATAATAAAATCAGCGATATTAAAATAAAAAAACAGGTGGTTGCCGTAAAAAAATTTTTATCGTCACCCGGCCGCGATTAATACCCCCCCCCCCTTTAAAGTTTTCTGTTGACTTTTGAGCTTTGAAACTTTGAAACATGATACCGTATTCTCCGAGCCGAGCCGAGTTGGTGACTATTTTACGGTTTCCAAAGTTTTCACAGAAGCTCAACACTCGAATCCCCCACAAGATCTCATCGTCAGCTACATTTTCCGACCCCACATCGATAGGTTTTGATAAGCGGTTCTCGAGATTTCGAGTAAT